GCTTCGTCACCATCATGCGAGAATCAACAGGCTCATCCGGTCCAGTCTGCGGGCATCGTGAAGCTCGTTCAGCATCGTTGTCCTCACGTCCTTCTCCTCGGACCGCATCGAATAGCTTGTCTCGAAGTCGGTTCTGCCAGAAGACGGTCAGAAACTGACCTTCAAGCTGAACGTGTTCCAACCCTGTCGATCTGCGACGGCCCGAGCTCTTTCGACCGCAGCTGCACGAATCTGGAAGCAAGTCCAGGTTGGAAAAGAATATCTGGCTGGTTGTCGGGGCCATGTCCTTGCCCGACGACAGGTAACTACACCATCTATGATCTGTCATGCGATATCCTGGCAGTGTCGTCGCCGTCGCTCTGAGAATCTCACCCTCCTGCCAGGCCTCATTCATCGCTTGAGAACCGACCACCAACACGCACCGAAGCTGAATCAGGCGCGCGATGAGAATGGAGGTCGCCATTAGTCTTTGCTTTTGCCTTCTTGTCTTCCCTTGTCGTCTCGTGACGTCGGGTATTAGAGACTGTAGTCGCATCCAGACTCCCCGAAATTTTGCCTCGTTCTAAGAGTCGAAGAACACGCTCCATGGTCGAGGTGCGCAGAAGACTCAGGCGGGCGTACTTGATGTTGGCTTGACCCAGCAGCCTCGCGCGGACCGGGTGGCCATTGTCCTCGTCAATCACTATGATCTCTGGGTCCTGCTCGGGGACATCCAGATGCCAAGCTACATGATCACCTGCGGCACCGCCGCCGCTTGGTAGCGGCGGTCCGCACCCTCAGTGCACCGCAGGCGCCGAAGACGTGGTCGCTGTCTGCTCGTGCGTCGGTGCGTCTGCTTCCTCCTCCTTCGCCTTGTCTTTGATCATGGGCCGGGTGACTGCGGGCGCACTTGCATGCCAGGTGGCCGGCCCCTGCTTCTCGCGCACCTTCTCATCCTTACCGTTGCCGAAGAAATGCGAGATAGGCAACAGCAAATGTCCCGATCGCGAGTCCTCGAGATTGAAGGTGAGCGCCCCCGGCGGTGGTGTGAACTGAACTCTTCCAGGGCAACACAGGTACAATTTGTTGTTTATCATGTCGACCACCGCTCTGTTGTGCTTCAAACTACGCTTTCCCCAGAGAGCGGGAATATCTGAGTCAGGAACCACTGGTGCCTTGTAGCTTATCTGATGCACCTTACCCCGCTCATCCTTAGCTGCGCCGGGCATCGTCGCCTCCTCCTTGGCAATCTGCGCATTGGTACCGACCCCATTCAACGCCAATTGACTGATCCATAAGGTACTGCGTCGGTTCCAAACACGCCCTTTTCGCCAGAGTTCCCATTCGCATGACCCATCTATCACCAACGAGATTGTCGCACGCGCCAGGATCTATCAGCAGGCACTCCTCGCCGTCGATCCTGGTCGCCTCGAGAAACACCTGCCGTGCCTCATCGTATCGCTCGAACACGGGGCCCACGAACCACTTCAGTCCAGCGGGCTTGGTTCCTGGATCGACCTGCTCGCTGGTGGGCTGAGGTTCGCCAAGAGTTACTTCTGGGTCCGGGTCATCCATGATACGAGCTTTCGCCTGTTCAAGCATCTGAATCGTCTCGTTGCCGATGTCCACGAACTCCGACTCCGAGGGAGTCGAAAGCAAATCCCAGGAAGTGGACGAATCACAGTCACGGCGGGCCCCCTCCTGGAGGTCTGGCCGCGCATGCGACTCGCACAGGCGCGAGCCCTCCTCCTCCACGTCCGGGTAGTAGCTGTCCTCGTACTCCTTCTCGTCATCCTTGGACACGTCCACTTGCGGCTCCACGCTGCTTGGCATGGCAAAGAAGTGTCTGGTCGCGGTAGACGCTGCCGGCTGCCCCGTGTGCTGCTGCCAGTGCTGCAAGGCGCTGGAAAAGCTTGAAGCTGGTTGGGCTCCCCCAGTGCTCAGATTTCCTTCTGTCGTTACATGGCGCTTTCCACCTGAAGTAGCCCGCTTCCGTCGGTGATCGCCAGCTCCCGGAGCGTCGCACTTCCTCCATAGATGCTTCTCGCTGTTGCAGTGATCACATCGAACTGGCTGTCCGTTCGCGCCTCTAGGGTTGGTCTTCTCGCCCTTGCCCTTGCCCTTGTAGTACTCCTGAGTGTTCCAAGTGCACCCGGGGCAGAGAGCTCCGCCCCCTGCGTCAGAAAGAAAAGACCACCCACTATTTCTCTGAAACCTGACCCCTTTCTTGCCCTTGCCTTTGCCTTTGCATCTGCGTCGCCGTGGAAGTCTGTCAGTTCGCCTTCTCCAGTGCTTCTTGGCGAGAGCATACACTTCATACAGGTCGCTGTCGCTCATCTGGGCACTGATGTTGAATGTAGACTCCGCCAAATCATTGCCGTCATCCTCGCTCGTCTCGGTGGAGTCAGGGTCTTCCCGGTCATAGAAGATCTTGTGGCAATTGCTGTACCAGCATCCTTCAGTATTTGATCCATTCGATATCCCAGCGACTCCGCCGCGCGGTCCTCCTGACATAGATGATGGCGATGCGCTGGGATAGTCTGGCATCAGAGGCGGCGGCACTCCTGCTTGGGTACCTGCGTCCTGAGAGTTGTCCGTGAAATAGAAGCCGTCGCCTGAGCCTGCTGAGTTAGCAAAATGCTGATGCCTGGATTGAGGAGCTGCCTGAGCAAGTCCGCTTCGCTCATAAAGATGATGCTGGCGTCGGATGAAAGAAGTAAGACCGGAAAGCTCCTGTTCATGCGTCGGTAAGTTGCCCCCGGTCGGCGCCAAGAACTGAGCCCACTGTGGAGGTGGAATGCCGAGTGCATTGAGTAGCATCCAAGCAAGATTCGGCACCCCCATGTGGAAATTTCCCAGATGCTCAGCTTTGAATTTCAGGAGATCGAACCGAGCCAACGCCTGATCAATCGGTTCCCCTGGTCGCCGACGACACGCAACCAAGTCCGTCATGCTCGCGATCGCGGCCTCCACCTCGAGTGGCATGAACTTGCGTCGCAGCCCGTGAATAAGTAAGTCCAGCACAGAACACCATCGATGTCCAGCTCCGTCTCGTACGTCCATATATACTCCGTCCTGTAGCTGGTCTGGCGGCACTTCCCTCGATATCTCTCTGGCCAATCCCGAGAGCTGGAGAACCACGGCCGGCGCTATGGAGCGCGCCGGGATATCCGTCATAGCCTCCCACATGCGTATGTCCGTGATCCAATCTCTGAGGGGATAAGACGATTCACGTGCGGGATCCCAGCTCGGTGGTGTCTTCGTATTCGACTGCATGATATATGGTCCTGCCGGCAGTCCACCTGCCGTCTGTGGTGAGTGCGCCATGATGTAGTCGTAGTAGCGCAGTGGTCCACCGTTGGAGCAGGTACGGGATCGCACCTGCTCCGCTACCAAGTTGTTTTGCTCCTGCGCACCCTCCTAAGTCAACGCCTCCTGAGGATACAGCTCGTCTGTCGGCGCGTCCGCCGACTGCAGTGAAACAACGGGGCTTGTCCTGAGGGCCCAGCCGGCCCAGAGGGCCACGAAGATGGAGAGGATCTTGGAGATCGTCGTCGTTGTGATAATCTTGATTATCAGATATGGAATGAGGGGGTGAGGCTGGCCGCCGCGGCTAGGCTACGCACGGGCACTGAGCCCGGCTTCGCACCAATCCGGCTTGAGCCAAGGTGGCGTCGGAGCCACCTCGTCCGCTATACACACTACTACCTTCTTGCTTTCTGCTGTGCAATCCTGTCTGCCCCTCCCGCACCTCGGGAGGATATCTACACATCAACTGAGAGGGGGAGGAGGAGGAGGAGGAGGAGGAGGAGGAGGAGGAGGAGGAGGAGGAGGAGGAGGAGGAGGAGGAGGAGGAGGGGAGGAGGGAGGGAGAGGCGAACACTCTCAGTTCCAACCCGCGCCCCACCTGCCAGCCAGCCCGCCCGCGCCGCCCCACGCTCCGCGGCGCGCCGAGGAGGGAAGCGAAAGGGGGCAGGTCTCTTAGAAAGGGGGCGCCGGGCCTCTCAGAAGCCCTCTGGCCTTTTGGGACGCCCTCTGCGGCTTCAGAGGAGGCTTTAAAAGCCTTTTCAGGCGGCCCTGCGCCCGGAGGAGGAGGAGCAGGAGAGCAGGATGAGGAGGAGAAGGAGGAGGAGGAGAAGGAGGAGAAGGAGGAGGAGGAGGAGGAGGAGGGAGGAAGGGGGAGGAGGAGGGGAGAGGAGGAGGAGGAGGAGGAGGAGGAGGAGGAGGAGGAGGCGCAGGAGGAGGAGGAGGAGGGGGAGGAGGAGGAGAAGGAGGAGAGGAGGAGGAGGAGGAGGAGGAGGGAAGTAGGAGTAGGAGGGGAGGATGAGGAGAGGAGGCGGGGGAGGAGGAGGAGTAGGAGGAGGAGGAGGGAGGAGGAGGAGGAGGAGGAGGAGGAGGAGGAGGAGGAGGAGGAGGAGGAGGAGGAGGAAGAGGAGAAGGAGGAGGAGGAGGAGGAGGAGGAGGAGGAGGAGGGGGAGGAGGAGGAGGAGGAGCGAGCGAGCGAGCGAAACCCTGGGACCCTGTGTCCACTGCAATCCGAGGCCCTCTGCGAGCGCAGACCCGCGTCGGGCATCAAGACACTCAAAAGCAGGATCTGGGTGGCCTTCAAAGGCTTGCTGTCGGTCAAGTCGCCCTGTTGGCGGGATGCGCACAAGCCAAGAGCCGCCCCACAAGCGGGGTGTACCGCTTGGGGTGCTCCACGGCACTGCTCCTACCCCCGTCCAGAGGCACACTCTCCCACAGAAGAGAACTACACACTCGACGTCCTATGCGGACCCTTACCTCCACCTCTACCCTGGCCACGGCCACTTGGCTTGGCGCGGGGCTGCTGCACAAAAACTCGGCCCCGATCCTGGGAGATCCCACGGATTTCATACCGGGCAGGGTCATCCAAAACTTCCAGGGTCACATTCTGCGGTCCCTCGAGCTGCACCTGCCCCCTCCCAGGGGCATCGAAGAAACCCTCTGCCTCTCCCCCCCGCGGCGCGCTGCTGACACGCACCCGCGCCCCCCCCGGCGTC